GGTTTTTCGAGACAGGGTTTCTCTGTGGTTTTGGAGCCTGTCCTGGAACTAGCTCTGTAGACCAGGCTGGTCTCAAACTCACAGAGATCCGCCTGCCTCTGCCTCCCGAGTGCTGGGATTAAAGGCATGCGCCACCACTGCCCGGCAAGGACAGGGTTTTTCTGTGTAGCCTTAATTATCCTGGAACGCACTCTGTAGACCAGGCTCAAACTCGATCTGCCTGCCTCTGCCTCCCAGAGTGCTGGGATTAAAGACATGCCACCACCACTGCCCCGTTAGCTTTGTTTATCAGTCAGTCGCAGGTCCTTTAAAGCCTGCTGACCTCTATATAGGCCATCTGGGTCAGAGACTGAACTGAGTTTTCCTTCAAGGTTTTTTTTTCTCTGCAGGCCTTGACACATGCAGGGACCCCCATAGCATACTGAAAAGGAGTTGGAGTTGCCTGATATCCCTTGGTTTAGTGGGTTTTTAAGGTTCAGGGAAATTGCAGTGCTGAAGTGAGTATGTTGTGTAAAACAATCCTCCACATGGGAAGGCCTAGAAGACACGCCCTTCACTAATTGTGTAAGACACAAAATGGTGAGGGGCACCAGCACATTTAAAGAGATCTGCTGTCTCCCTTTTCCTTGTGCCAGACCTTAGGGCTGGAGATGCTGCTGCTCGGTTGGATGAATTAAATGCAATCAATAGATTTACCAGGTGATCTGTCTTTATTCCCAGCGCTTGGGAGGCAGACAGATCTCTGAGTTTGAGGCCAGAACTCGAGATGTACAGAGCAAGTTCCAGGACAGCCAGAGCTTCACAAAGAAACCCTGTCTTGAAGAAAGAAAAAGTTCTGTGGCAGGGGCCAGGTGGCAGTACCAAAGGCAAGGTGAGCATAGTTAACTGTAATGAGCGGCACAGACAAAACAGTGACCTGTACGGTCAGCACAGGCCAAGTGCGTTCTCTGGGGGGCATGATTTGTATGGATCTGTGGTACCAGCTAATCAGTTATGGTGCTTCTGAGCATTAAATAGATAAGAAACCAGAATGTTTGATCTGCACAGATGGGAAACTTTCTCAAAGAAAAGCTACATTGGGTCGTGGCCAAAGGGATTCTCCACCTGTGGACCAATTTCCAGAGTGAAGGGGATGGCCAGGTTCTTCCGTGGAAGGATCTTGATAAAATGCCTGAAAGATTTACTGTTAGCCTTTCCCCATTCCTTCCCAGAAGGTAATGCAGCCTTTGACAGGGTAACTACACTGGGGGTAAGGAAACAATTAGACTCTCCAGACCTACTGGATACTGGTTCTGAACTGACACCGATTCCAGTAAATCCCAAGGAACACTGGCCCTCCAGTTAAAGAAGGGGCTTATGGAGGTCAGGTGGTTAATGGAGTTTTGACTAAAGTCCAACTCACAGTAGGTCCAATGGGTCCCTAAACTCATCTTGTGGTTATTCAGATTGTATAACTGGGATAGATAGAAGTCGGCAGAGTTTTCCCACTGGTTCCCTGATGCGTGGAATATGGGCTATCATGGTTGGAAGGGCTGAATGGAAGCCTTTAGCTTTGCCTCTGCCAAGAAAAATAGTGAATCAAAAACAGCACCGCATCCCTGGAGGAACTGCAGAAATGAGTGCCATCAAGGACTTAACTCTCCTGTCTGGCCAGTGCAGAATACAGATGGATTGTCAAGAATGACAGTTGGTTATGGAAAACTCAATACTGACTCCAGCTGCAGCTGCTGGACCAGATGTGGTGTCCTTACTTGAGCAGATTAACACATCTAGTACATGGTTTGCAGCTGTTGATTCAGCAAATGCCTCGTTCTTGGTACCCATCCATAAAGACCACTAGAAGCAGTTTGGCCAGGCCAGCAGTAAATCTTTGCTGTTTTACCTCAAGGATATATTAACTCTCCAGCCCTGTGTCATAACTTAGAAGGGGTCTTGACCATTTGTCTCTTCCACAAAATATTACATGGGTGCACTATATTGATGACATTATGTTGAATGGACCAAGCAAACTGGAGGTAGCAACTACTTTGGACCCGTTGGTAACACATGCGCACATCAGAGGAGGGGAAGTAATCCAACCAAAATTCAAGGGCCTACCTCCATGAAATTCTTAGGAGTCTAGTGGTGGAGCACATGTGGAGGTACTCCTTCTAAAATATAGAATAAGTAAATGCTCATCAGAAGGTGACTTCAGCTGAGGAGGTGTTCAATACAGTAATCAAGTAGATAGGATGGCCCGGTCTGTGGACAGACTCTTTGCCCAGCCATTCCTGTCATTGCCCAATGGGCCATGAACAAAGTGGCCATGGTGGCACAGATGGGGGTTATGCATGGACTTCTACTCACCAAGGCTGACCTGGCTACAGCTGCTGCTGAGTGCCAGATCTGCCAACAGCAGACACCAACAACATGTGTAGTGAAATTTTGTGTGTGATCTAACAAAGTTTGCCTGAAGATCAGAGTGCAAAACTAAGCTACCAGTTAGCCATAGGGCCAGGCAGTGGTGGCACACACACCTTTAATCCCAGCACTCAGGATGGAGATTGATCTCTGTGAGTTCAAGGCCACCCTGGGCCACACTGAATCTATCTAAAAGATCGAATCTATCTAAAAGAGAAACAGCTCATGCAAAGATGATCTCAGCACTTGGGATCACATGGCTTTAATCCCAGCATTGGGAGGTGGAGACCGTAGTGATATGGCTAGGTAGAGAGAGGAATATAAGGTAGGAGGAGACAGGACCTCAGAAGCAATCTGAGGTTTCCTAGAGAGAGAGTCAGTCTGAGGATTTGTAGACAGGATCGCCCCTTCAGTCTGAACATTGGTAGAGGTAAGAACTCTCTAGTGACTGGGTGCTCTGCTTCTCTGATCATTCAGCTTTAACCCCTGCATCTGACTCTGACTTTTTATTAAGTCCAATTGGAATGTGTGTTATAGATATGACATCATTACCCAGGGTGACCAGCCATCAACCTGGTGGTAGAATGACTTCACTGGAGCACTTCCCTGTAGAAAGGACAATGCTTTGTCCTTACTGCAGCAACTACTTACTCTGACTATGGATTTGCCTTTCCTGCACATACTGCTTCCACCAAAACCACCACCCATGGACTTACAAAGTGCCTGATCCACTGATGGTATTCCACGCAGTATTGCTTCTGCCCAGGGAACTCACTCCACAGCCAGAGAAGTGCAACAGTGGACCCATGATATGGAATCCACTGCTCTTACCATGCTCCCCACCACTCTGAAGCAGCTGGCCTGATAGAAAGATGGAATGTCATTTTGAAGACACAGCTACAGAGCCAAGTAGGTGACAGCAGCCTGGAGAGTTAGGGCAGAGATCTGCAGAAGGCTGTGGATGCTTTGAGTCACCGTCCAAAATATGATGCAGTTTCTCTCATAGCCAGGATCTACAGGTCTAGGAACCAAGGGGTGGAAAAGGGAATAGCCCACTAGCAATCATTCCTAGGAAAAATTTTGCTTTCTGTTCCCGCCACCTTAAGTTCTGCTGACCTAGAAGTTTTGCTCCCAGAGGGTAGTAGTGCTCCTGCCAGGAGACACAGTAAACATTCCATTGAAGTGGAAGCTCAGACTGCCCCATCGGGTGTTCTGGTTGCACGGGTCTCTCAAAGAAGGGGAGTTACCCCAGAATGTAATCTAGGCTCTCTGGCAGCAGGGAGGAACAGTTTCTCTGAACTGAACCTCAAACCTCTCTCTATTCAGAAGCACATGTACTGATTATACACAAAGGCTGTGTTTGGGGTACAACAAGTTCCTTACACCAAAGCCCTTTTCATCTATATGTTCTCTGAAGAAAATCTTCACACCCTACAACCTTTAGTCCTTACTGTGTACTGTTTGCAGTCCTCAATAATGCAAGACCTCCAAGTGTGCCTGCATAGTCTTGTGACCAAAATCACATAGTGGATGGAAAACTCCCTCAGAAAACAATTCTTTATAGAAAACACTCACTGTTCTCTACTGATCTCTTCAATGTCTAGGTACCTTCAACAATCACTAATACATTCAACTGTTACCCTAGATACACTGAGAAACAACTATTACATTCTAATGTTTAGTCTAGATACAATGATTCTACTAGATTCCCACTACAACCTCCTAGCCACTTTGGGCTTCTGATGCCCTTAAGCCAACAGGTTAAGAAAGGAATAACCTGATGTCAACCCTGGGTTTCCAAATGCGTGCACACACACACACCTATACATGTCAAAACACATTTACACTACACATACATACACAAAGATAGAAAAGATACATATGCACATTTCTGTATGCCGAGAGAGAAGCAGAGCATAAATGATAAACACATTGATCACCTGCTCACGGCTCCCTTCATCCTATATCTTGTTTTGTTCTTCTTGGCCCTTGTGCAGGTTTCCTTGAACACTTTCCTATCTGCCCAAGTACCCATTCAAGTCACAGGTGTTCCAATAAGGAGTCCAAATGCACCTGCACTTCCTCCCACCCACTTCCTAAATGCACCTGGCTTTCTCCCACCCACTTCCTAAATGCACCTGGCTTTCTCCCACCCACTTCCTAAATGCACCTGCACTTTGTCTCACCATGGCCTTTCCCTTTCCCTCCCAGCGCTGATACATTTTTAAATTATGGGAGTCTCTCTTGTCTCTCCTCTCCCTTGCTTTTCAGCAGCCCTCTCCAGGTCGGTAAGTGTTACAGCTCTGAAGGGAAAGGCATTCTGGCAGTCAGGAGCCAAGGAATACCACAAACTCACAACAAACCTCACACAATAGATTTATGGGGAAAGACACAGGGTAGCTGCTTCTGCTCAGGAGAAAAGCAGCAAAGAACTGAGGGGAGGCAGCAGTGTACAGGATGTCTTGAGGGCAGAGTTTTCAAGAGTGGCAATTTCCAGGGTAGGAATTGGAGTGCTTTCAAGTCCTGAGCTTGGGCTTTCTACTCGGTAGGGCAGAGTTTGGCAGTCTGAATCTCAAGGGGCTGTGGCTGTGGACGGAGCCTGGCAGTTGGAGGTCCTCAGGGGCAGGGCCTAGTCACTCCCATGCCTTGAGGGTCTTACATCCTCCCCCTTTTATGTTTACTATTGATAAACAATCGGGTCAGGAAGGGTGCAATGTTATCTTTAGATGACTTCTTGCCAAAAGGGGACATCAAAGTCCTTGGGGCTTGATCTTCACCACCACAGGATATAATCAGGAGTTACAGGCCTCTGACTCTATATCTAGCAGCCTGTGATCCTGTAATAGTAACTGATTAAAAATTATTATTAGAGGGCTGGAGAGATGGCTCAACGGTTAAGAGCATTGCCGCTCTTCCAAAGGTCCTAAGTTCAATTCCCAGCAACCACATGGTGGCTCACAACCATCTGTAATGAGGTCTGGTGCCCTCTTCTGGCCTGTAGGCATACACACAAACAGAATATTGTATACATAATAAATAAATATTTGAAAAAAAATTATGATTAGAAATCTTTTGGATCTGTTGTTAAAGAAACCTAAACAAGAAGCTTAAATATTAAACAGGAAGTTTAAAACAACTTTAATATCCACACTCAAAAGACAGTGGATCTCTGCTAAACTGAATCTGGTGGCCAGAAATCCCAGAGATGAATTCTGAACCCTCGCCATCAAAGCAGCCATGGCAAGCTGCATTAGTGACAGAGAAATCAAAAATAAAACCTATAAACACAGAACACAAAAGTTCACACACTCAAAGGAGACTAGTCAGAAACAAAACCTGTAGGGGCCACCATTGTTCTCCCTCATCAAGTGATCCTAATCCATCCATTTCTGTCTCGACTCCCACATTTGCCACAAGACTTAAGACTACAATAAAAAAAAAAAAAAACCCATCTAGACAGACAAAACTTTCCAAACAACCTGGAGAGGAAGCAAGGGAGGAGGAGATGGAGATGCCCTATACATACAAGACTCAGAGCAAGCAGGGTGGAGCTGCAGCCAAGACAAAGCTATGGGACTTCCAACCTTGAAGCTGAGGACAATGTGCATGCAAACCCTTCTGTTGTTACTGCAGAATCAAAGCTCATAGCTGCAGGGTCATCAGAAGTTCATAGGGCATCACATAGTGTTGTAAGGGGTCGCTTGTTCCTGGCTGCTTGGCAGTGCAGACCCAAAGTAAGAACACAGAAATTATAAACTTTTACATCTTAATTTAACCCATTTCCATTAATCTGTGCGTCACCACGAGGTCATGGCCTACCAGCAAAGTTTCAGTGTGTCTGTCTCCAGCAGTGGCTCCATGGCTTCTCCCTGACTCTGCCTTCTTTCCCCCAGCATTCAGCTCAGTTTTCCCTGCCTAACTAAGTTCTACTTTAGTAGAACTTAGGTCCAAAGCAGTTTCTTCATTCACCAATGGTATTCACAGCATACAGAGGGGAATCCCACATCAACACAGGGACCTGATCATCGGTGGAGTCACAGAAACTCTGCCCCTTGCTCCTTCTGTGATAGAAACAGGTTGGTTCTCAATACCACTTAACAGAGGTGGAGAGTCTAGAGACAGAAAGAGGACATACTGGATAACTAGCCCCATCCTAACCTCCAGTGTTTCTCATTGCTGTCTAGAGTTGAGAAGGAACCACAGGACAGGCAGATGTAAAACAGTGGTGAGCCATGGGTGACCCTCAGGAGCTCAGAGATAGGCCGTCCAGACAGATGAAGACGACCAAATCAGATGAATTAAGAGGACAAGAAATGGAATCCCTGAAGCTTGGGGCATATCTCAAAAATCATTTTGTTACAACACTGGACACATAGATACACACGCACATACCCATGCCTAATACAAAATAACATATATTCTGCTTTTACGCCACTGGTTTTCCCAGCAAGGGGTTATAAATTAGAGGTACAAAAATAAATAAATAAATCGCCTTTAATCCCAGCACTTGGGAGGTAGAGGTAGGCGGATCTCTATGAGTTCGAGACCAGCCTGGTCTACCGAGCTAGCTCCAAGACAGGCTCCAAAGCCACAGAGAAACCCTGTCTCGAAAAACCAAAAAAATAAAATAAAATAATAAATAAATAAATAAATAAATGTGCTATAAGATTCACATTTCCAAACTATCCACACAGAGTTCCCAGAAGGAGGGGTTAGTGCAGGATGGGAAGGAAGGTCGTGAGATGCCCCAGCTAAGTAGATCATGCTGCAGTACACAGCTCCAACAGGCTGCCAAAGTGCTGCAGCGGTCCCCGAGTGCTGCATGACCCTGAAGCCATCATCTCTCAGAGAACTGACATAGGAGGGACAGGAGCCGCCCTGTAAGGGTCTTCTGAATCTGGATTCTACTGCACTACCAGTAGGGAGAATCAACAAACTTGATCCTGGGAAAAGAGTCTGTGCAGCAATTTTAGGGGTGGTCTCCTTCAACTGGACCATTTGGCCTTCCATAAGTGCCCAACGCAGGCTAAGCTTGCTGATCACCAGAGAGGTGGGGTGGCCGTCAGGGCTCATCCCTGTTGTCCTGGTGACGTAAAAGGCATCTTTCCAGATGTCACTGATTTGAACTTCCGAAGTTGTCACTATACCAGTGGTGTTGGTCAGGTGCAGGACAGACGGGAAGGCTGGGTGCAGGAGGTAAGGTGGTAAAGGCCAGGGGGCTTGGCTCCTGGGGCGTCATCAGAACTGAGCGATGCAGCAGCCAGTGCTTCTGCCCAGAAGAGGAAGACAGACTTCTGGTCTGAAGTAACTGCAGAAGTGGTTGGTGTTTCCTCCATGTGACACGGGATACTGTGACTCCAGATGATGGAGCCAGAGCTCCATCCACCACCATCATCTTTTTCATCCCAACTCCATGCTGTCTGCAGAAGGAAGTCCAATGTCTGATCATCAGTGAAAGACCCAGGAGTGGGCTGGCTGCAAACAGACAAGGACGCAATAAAAAGCGATATACAGAAAAGAAACGGGGCTGGAGACACGGCTCAGAGGTTAAAAGCACTGGCTGCTCTTCTAGAGGTCCTGAGTTCAATTCCCAGCAACCACATGGGAATTGAATAAGATCAGAATCAATGAGATCTGGTGCCCTGTTGTGTCATGCAGGCACACATGCAGGCAGAACACTGTATACCTATATAATTAATTAACTAATTAATTAAAAAAAGAAACAGGTACCTCCCTCCCTTCCCTTGCACCAGCCACTCGAAACAAGCAAATATTCTAGATAATTTTTAGAATGGGAAAACTGCTCGGAACAGCAGCCATATGCAGGTACTCTGCAAACCTGTGCAGGCCATGAAGGCTCAATTTCCAGAGCGGCATAAGATCTTGTTCCCGGAGCAGGACCAGGCCTTGTCTGGTTGCAATTGAGAGGCTGCTGCAGTTGGAATCTGGTGCCTTCACCAACTGGAGAAGCTCGACTCCATCACTGTAAACATCAAGGAGCTCCGAAAGACTGACAGATCTGTGCTTCTCCCATTCCGGCTCTTCTATCTGCAGAGAGGGTGGTGCACTGTCTCGATTTTGGGCCTGAACAAAAATGTCCCACAGGGCAACAGCTTGTATATTTCCAAAGCCAAATATGATGTAGACAGTCCCAGTGGTGGTGGTGTAAACCTGGGGACCAATCAGACACCCCACTCCCATGATGTTGTACTTCACAGGTCAATCCACGGGACTCCCTGTCTAGCCAGATACCAGCAGAAAACACAGATCTGGCTGCAATTCTCCAGTGGCCAGCACCACCAGATCTCTGACACCATCCCCATCCAGGTCTGGCAGCACCACAACTGGGGTACCAAGGTGCCATTAGACAGATGGTTTGGGTTTAGGGCCCACATTGTTGAAATATGAGCGGCAGGGCTGCGTCCCCAGCACCCCAGCCGCCTGCTAGCTTATGCCCGAAATAACAACACACAAACTGTATTCATTTAAAGACTGCTTGGCCCATTTCTATCTAGCCTCTTCTAGGCTAATTCTCACATATTAATTTAGCCCATTTCTAATAATGTGTGTAAGCACCCCAAGGTGCGCTTACCGGGAAGATTCTAGCCTACATCCATCCTGGGTCGGAGCTTCATCACATATGCCTCAGAGCGCAGAGCTATCACGTCTACCCAGGAGAGCTGAGCATGGTGTCTCTGCTCCAGAGAGCAGAGCTGTTGGGTCTCTCCGGGAGCAGAGCAGAGTCCGAGCTCACTTCCTCTTCCTCCCAGCATCCTATTCTGTTTACTCCTCCCACCTATGTTTTAACCTATCAGGGCCAGCCAAGCAGTTTCTTTATTGCTTAACCAATGAAATCAACAGATTGATATGACACTCCCACATCACCACATGACTTTCCCTGATGCTGCATTGAATGCACTGAGCATCTTTTTTTTTAAAAAAAATATTTTTATGGTTTATTTAACTTTATTTTATGTGCATTGGTGTGAAGGTGTCAGATCCCTTGCAACTGGATCTTCAGACAGTTGTGAGCTGCTATGTGGGTGCTGGGAATTGAACCAGGATCCTCTGGAAGAGCAGTCAGTAATTTTAACTACTGAGCCATCTCTCCAGCCCCATACACTGAGCATCTTGAGCATCCCTGTCATGAGGCAGATGGTCTCTCTGACTCCTGGAGCCTGCTACACCCTCTGGGGCCCTACCACATAGGTAACTCTCTAGTTACTACGGCACTTGTTCTGTCTATTGGAACCCTCCCTGCTTCCTTGCCCCCCCCCCCCACTAGGAGCTTCTCACTAAGACCTGAAGTTTCCCTAAGCCCTTCCTGGCCTCTGCAACCATGCCCTCCTGGGCTTCTTTCTTTTAATTTCCACTTGGAGCTTATAAAACTCCCTTCGGTGGAGTTCATTCTGTAATCCTTTCTCTCTTCCTCCATGGACTTGGATTTTATTAAAGCCTTACTGTTACTATAAGCAGCTTGGCTTCAGTACAGTTCAATGGCCAAATTGGAATTGACAATTGGCTCTATTGTCAATGGTGGCAACTTCTGTCACCACACAAACAAACTTGCTCTCTCCTCCTCTGTTTCTTCCTATCTACACCTGTCTATGGGTAGCTCCTATACATGGATGTTTATCACACCTCTAACCAACAGCCTGTCCTAACAGGGATGGGAAACTGCCAACTGCCATAGAGCAGGCTGTCAAGGGTTGATGGGGCCGGGGGAGTGCTGGAGAGATGGCCCAGCAGTTATGAGCAGCGACTGTTCTTCCAGGGGACTTGAGTTCAATTCCCAGCACCCACATGGTAGCTAACAACTGTCTGTAACTGTAGTTCCAGAGTCTGAAACCCTCACACAGACAAACTTGCTGGCACATGAAATAAAAATAAGTTTTTTTAAAAAGGCTGATCCATTTCCCTTTAACTCCTTATTCATCTCTTCTTCACCTGGACTTACTTACCCCATGCCTGTTTTCTCTATTTTTGCAATAATTCCTGTCCTGAGAAAAAGTCATAAAAATAGGGTTTATGAAAAATAGGATTTAAAAACAATGCTTGTTTAATAAAAGTATTAAAGCTGCACCTTCAGGTACTCATATACAAGAATGTACTTTATGCTAGTAAGTTTGTAAAGAACTTTGCAACATAAGGGTCACCTGGGTGGTATTGGTTTTAAAGGGTCACGAAAGGTCAGGGAGAGCAAAGGAGACTCGGCACCGCTTGGCAGGACTGAAGGACCTCAAGAGATCCAGGAGAGGTTTTCGGCGAAAACACAGCCCACTTACAATGACAGTCTAGGAAAGTGTAGAAAGCTTAAGAACGTTCTGAAGGTCTAAGAAAGTGATTTAAGACAATGAACAAATGTTTCAGATTGTCCCCCCTCTATGCCATTGCTATATTACGATGTCAAAGGTTCAGGAAGCCTATATCACTCGTGGTTCAGCCAGACCACCGCTGTGGTGGGTCTGAAGGCTGCTCACCACAGGTTGCCAGAAGGAGATACTTGTCCATGTAATGCTTTAATGGACTTCTAAAGCGCCTGCCCCCGTGCTTGCTTTCTCTATGCTCGAACAAGAAATTACTGTCTGCATTGGCCAGAGACTTATAGAGGCAGCCCTTACTGATCCTGTAGGAGACACACTGCATATTCAGGTAGGCCTTCTATCTTTTATACAAAATGGGGTATCTCTTATTTCCTAATTAAGGACTCCTGGCACCCCAGATGGGAGGCAGGGGTCACTAGTGCACTTTACTATAGGTTTTATCACGGCTGCCCATCAGGCGCGATCAAAATACAGAGGGTACGCACCCCACTCTCTCAACCCCTAATTATAGACACGGTGGGAGAAGTGGCCCAACATTCAAAGGTTCTTTCCTCCCTAGCATCTTCCCTCTTGGACAGCACTGACCCTACCTCTGTCCTCATGACCACTCCATCTCTTGTTTCAGACCTTAAACTCCGCATATCAACCCCTAAACATCACCCTGCCTGACCGCTTTGGAGAGCCCCGGTAGGGTCTCCCTCCTGGGTCAAACTCACACGACCACCATTCCTAACCTTACCCACTGAACTATTAGATTCTCACCTCGCTGCTCACTAACTGCTCTGAGCTGGAGGGTTGCGGCACAGAGCCAGCGCTACAAGCTGCTTTACGATCCTGAGCAAATCCATAATCTCGTTTGAATCTGTTCTTCCTGCGCATGGTTTCTCCCTTTCTGTCCTCTCTCCTAGCAGAGTCCTCTGCATCCATCGTGTTTGGCCGACACTTGTTCAGACATGTCAGTGGGTTCCTCCTGGGATCCTGCGGAGGACAAGGGCGGCCTTTCCTGGAACCGCTAGGTCGAAGAAGGAAGCATGACCACACGACTGGACTGAGGACGAGACAGGGCCTCCGGGATAGTCTGAGAGCCGCGGTCAGGTTCAGTGCTCCTGGTTCTCCTTTTCCTTGACTACCTGGAAGGAAGTTTCTCTCCAAAATCGTTTCTCACATCTCTGCCTACACGCCGCCCAGTGTACCAGGACCTGCGATCCCTGAAGACACTGCGTGGTTTAAAGACTCTCCTCTTACAGGAAGTGTAGGGCTGAGGCCTGTGGGCGGGGCTCGAGTGTGGCTCACCAGGCCAAGGGAGAGCAAGGAGGGTGGGGGGCGTGAGTGGGTGGGTCTCGGCTTTGCTCCGCCCCAGAGACCAGCTTTGCCCGGCTCCACCCCTTGTAGGGTAGCAGTGAGCTCCGGGGAGTCGCACAGTTTCTGTTTTCCGGGTTGGGGCGTGTTCCTTTCTCCGTCCTAAGCCTGTCAGCCCAAAGGGAGTGATTTTGTACCTTCAGGGACAGCCTCACTGAGCACTACTCTGCCCCACCCGGTCCTCGCACCGCACCCACCGCAGCGGCCGAGGAGGAGATCCGGGAGCCAGTCCAAGTGGGCCAAAGTGCAGGTGCGCCTCTCAGTCTCAGTCTCCTGAAATTGAATCCGCCTTGGACCGGCAGGGTTTGCTTCTGGATTTAGGTCTTCGAAGCAGTTCTGTCCAGCTTGAGCCCGAGGCTAGTGTGGCGGGAAGTGGAGAGCTTGGTAGGGAAACTAATGTCCCAGAGGGCAAGAGAGGGAACGGGTTTGTAGGAAAAACAGAGCGCGCGGAACCCTAGCCCCCTAGGACCCGAGACCTGGGGACTTTCTCCAAATTCCGGTCCCACACTCAGCTAACCCTTTGGCGGTGGAGAAACACCAGGCACCAGATCTTTGAGTGGAATGCAGAAGTGCTTTTTGCTGTATCCTACAGAACCCAGGCCTCGCCTCTCCCAGATGACCAGGAATTGTTTTGTTTGTAAACAGAGACAGGGTTTCTCTGTCTTTGGAGCCTGTCCTGGAACTCGCACTGTAGACCAGGCTGCCCTGGAACTCACAGAGATCCGCCTGCCTCTGCCTCCTGAGTTTTGGGATTAAAGGCGTGCGCCACCACTGCCCAGTGGCTGGGAATTGTTTTAGGAAAAATTCCGAGAACTAAAGTCACTGAGGATGCTGCCCCAATCTGATCCTAGGTGGCCCTTTACTTACTTTTGCTGATGATGAGTCTGCCTACGGACAGACAGACCACTCACTGCCTGGAGGAGACATCCTAACTGCCACTGGGTACTGAGACACGGTTCCTTAGTGAGCCCGAGGTCAGTTGATGAAGAAATCTAATTGGAGCCTTTCTTTACAGGAGTTGAGAGCTCAAGAGCGGCAGGTTCCGAGCCTGACAGACCTGGGAGGGAAGTGCCTAATTGGCCAAGGTCCTCGGGGTCGCTAAAGGTGCCTGCCTTCTGTAGAGCACCCAGTGATGGCCCGCCAAAGACTGGCCTTGGGCCTGGCATTCTGCCTGCTTGCTAGCACAAGTCTCTGGCTCCTGTGGTGAGTTCCGGTTTGGAGTCTACTCCCTCCCTCTGCATGTCACCCCTAAACCTTGAATACAGTTTTCCAGGTCCCATCAACCTCTCGAGATTCAGAATCCTCCAGCCCCAGAATACCTAGTATTGCCTTCTGTGTTTTGCCTTGAGTTGACTTTCTAGCCTTCCTTTAACTTGCCGCGTTTTCTGCCTAGACTGTCCTTCAAATGATGTTGATAAGGAACCCTGTTCATGCTCTTAAAGTCATCCCTGTTGGTCTTGTGGGGTGCTACTGGCACTGCATGTCTCCTATTTGTGTGTGGGACCTGGTGTCAAGGACATGAGCCATGAGTGGATAGCCATACAGACAAACAGCTACACGCTAGGCCCTGTGCCGGATACAGGTGTCCTCTGCTGCCAACACAGAGTGACAGGGCTTCCTCCCAACCGCACCACTGGAGGCCTTTGCTCCTGATAAAGTGCACCAAGTCAGCCCCTGAGGCAGAGCACCATTGACAGGTACTTTTTCTTTCTAGGGGATTTGCCAGGGACTGGCTGTTGGTCTCCTATGTGCCTTTTTACCTCCCCTGCCGAGACTCGTAAGTATGGGGCTAGAGGATTTGGGGGCAGTGTGAGCTGAGTGTATTTGGAAAACAGGAAAGCTTTTAGGATGACATCGTCTGAGATTTCAGCCTTCAAGCCTCCTTCTGCCCTCAGTGCTTGCACAGCTGTGGGTCTTGCTTCTTGCTTGCTGTGCCTGTTCGATGGGATGGTAGAGATGCCTCTCCTGGCTGATGCGTATGAGTATCCTCGTGTCCTAGTGCATAGAAGGTGGTCAGTAAACAGCCCTGTTAGGAAAGAACCTCTTGCTTCATTTGTGTGGATGCAGGAAACCTAGTACCACTGGACTAAAGCCTTCCATGCAGAGTGAACGTATTTGACAGCTAAAAGTGAAAAGATGGACCTCGTGAACTTTTGTGTTTTATGGCAGCTAAAGAAGACCAGGCTGGCCTTGAACTCAAAGATCCACCTGCCTCTGCCTCCAGAGTGCTGGGATTAAAGATGTGCGCCACCACCTGGCATAACACATTTTATCAAAAACAAAATATAGTAGTAGTATTTTAGTCCTTATTCAGATGTTTATAACAGGATACCACAGTTCTGGCCCAGAGTCAAGGAGCTACATGTGCTGAATTTGTTGGCGACTATCTTGCTGGCAAGGTCCCAGGGCAGCACAGGGTGAGAGACAGAATGTATCTCTGTGTATATTTTTTGGTCTCTTTGTCTTAATCCCTACCCATCCTCGAACTCTGTAAGTCAACCAGGCTAACCTTAAATTTACAGAGATCTGGCCTCCTGAGTGCTTGGCTTAAAGGTATGTACTACCAAACCTGGCTTTTATTATTAAAATTATATTTATTTATTTTTGGTTTGGTTTGGTTTTTGAGACAGGGTTTCTCTGTGTAGTCCTAGCTGTCCTGGAACCCACTTTGTAGACCATCCTGGCCTCAAACTCACAGTGCCACCACTGCCCAACTATTATTATTTTTAATGTGTATGGGTGCTCCGCCTACATGTATATTTATGCACCATGTACTTGGTGCCCTCAGAGGCCAGAAAAGAGTGTCAGATCTCCTGAGACTGGAGTTGAAGGTGGTTGTGAACCACCATGTATCTATTGTATATACTGGGACCTGAACCCAGGTCCTCTGGAAGAACAGCCCTCTCTCCAGTTCCTATACAGGGTCTTATGTAGCTAGAGTGTCTGTCTTAGTCACTGTTTTGTTGCTAGGAAGAGACACCATGACCAAGGCAACCTTAAAAGAAAGTATGAAATGGGGGGCTTGTTTACAGTTTCGTAAGTTAGTCCATTATCATCATGGTGGGGAGCTTGGCAGAACGCAAGTAGACATCTACATACTGATCTGCAGAAAGAGAGACTGGGCCTGGCATGGGATTTTGGAACCCCAAGCCCACCCCCATTGACATACTTCCTCCAACAAGGCCACACTTACATGACCCCAAAAGGGACCATTCTTATTCAAACCACCACAGTGTTCTACTTAGGTTACTATTTATTCCTGTCATGAAACATCATGACCAGCCGTGGTGGTGGCATACACCTTTAATCCCAGCACTCGGGAGGTAGAGGCAGATAGATCTCTGTGAGTTTGAGGCCAGTCTGGTCTACAAAGCAAGTTCCAGGACAGTCAGAGCTGTCACATAGAGAAATCCTGTCTTTAAAAAAAAAATGAAAAGCAAAACATCATGACCAAAATCAGCTTGGGGAGGAAAGGGTTTGTTGGCTTACATGTCTCCATTATAGTCCATCAGGAAAGGAAAGGCAAGAACTTGGAGTTAGAAATTGATACAGAGGCCATGGAGGAACCTGTTTACTGGCTTGTTCTTCGGGGCTTGCTCAGCCTGCTTGCTTGCTTTTTCTTCTTTCTTTCTTTCTTTTTTTCTTTCTTTCTTTCTTCCTTCCTTCCTTCCTTCCTTCCTTCCTTCCTTTCTTTCTTTCTTTTTCTTTCTTCCTCTTTCTTTCTTTCTTAATTTCTATTTCTTTTTTCTTTTCTTTTCGTTCTTTTTGTTGTTGTTTTTGAGACAGGCTTTCTCTGTGTAGCCCTGGCTGTCCTGGAACTCACTCTGTAGACCAGGCTGACCTTGAATTTAGAGATCCACCTAACTCTGCCTCCTGAGTGCTGGATTTAAAGGCATGGCCCACCACTGCTCAGCCTGTTTTCTTAGACCATCCACAACCATCTGCCCAGTGATAAATCAGTCATTAATTAGGAAAAAGCCCCCATAGACTTACCTACAGACCAATCTGATCGAGGCATTCTCTCAACTGAAGTTCCCTGTTCCAAGATGGCCCAGGTTGTGTCAAGTTAACTAAAAACCTAAGCACATTGGCCCTGAACTCTGTACGTCTGAGGATGACTTTGAGCTCCTGATTTTCTTGCCTTCACTCCTGACTGCTGAGATTACAGGCCTGTGCTTCCTTGCCAGGCTCATCTTTCCTTTCATTTTTATTGCCTTTAGGTGCTTAAAAATATGAAGTTCTTTTTTGATGAGTGTGTGCAAGGCTCAAGGCCAACCCCTTGGCCTCCTGTGCGGTAGACGGGCTATCTTCCCCTGAGCTACACTCCCAGTTTCTGCTTCTATATTCTTGTGTGTCATTCCCCAGTGGAGCTAGAGCATGTCTGGACTTGTGGGGAAAATGAAATCACTGTCAGGCTGCACAGAATGCTGGGTCCTGGTGTGGCATCCTCTTCCTGATTCTGATCGCCTCCTCGGAACCCCAGTATTTTCTGAACAGGGACACAGTAAACAGGGTTTAGAGAGTGGCAATTAAAGAGTAGAGGCAGATCATGAAGGGACAGATAATATGCAGGTTCCTTCAAGAGTGTTGCGAGAATCTTTCTGGACTAAGCACTCTGACACGAGCGAGAGTGGAAATGAGAAGATATGCCTCCAGGGGACCAAAGCCAGCACAACTCCTCAAAGGTTTCCGTCCAAGAGCCAGTTTTATACTCTAAAACTATAAGGCAGGGTGGGCAAGCAAGCAAGATTTTGCAGAAGCATATGTGGCAATCAGCAGGTGGTTAAGGGCAATGACTCATTGTTCTGGTTATTTCTCCAGGTCATCCTGTTTCATTCAGGTAGCTATCCAGGTAGCGAGTGAGGTCACACTGGGCAAACAGGCAGTACAAGCAATGCTTTAAGTAAATCCCTGCATCCATAAATCTGTATCGAATAATTGGTCTTACCAGATTCATAGAGGCAGGAACAGGGCAGGCCCACGGGTAGCCACTGTTTGCTGGACCTGATTTTAGACTGACAAAACATCCTTGCCGGCAGTGGTGGCGCACACCTTTAATCCCAGAACTCAGGAGGCAGAGGTAGAAGGATCTTTGTGAGTCCAAGGCCAGCCTAGTCTAGAGTGAGTTCCAGGACAGGTTCTAAAACTACAGAGAAACCTGTCTTGAAAAAAAAAAGGGAAGGAAGGAAGGAAGGAAGGAAGGAAGGAAGGGAAGGAGGGAGGGAGGGAGGG